TAAGGGGCAAGGCGCCTCCCTCTACACCAGAAAATAGGGCTGCTCAAGGGGAGAACAGCTACCTGCCACCCTCCCCAAGAGCTCCTGAGGGAGGGAGAGAGGCAGTGAGCTGCCCCAGATTTTGCGTGTGGACCCATGCAGGCTCTGGAGTGGGGGTTTTCCCAGTGAAGATCAATCAGTCCCCAAGAACTATTGATGACCTTGACTTTGTGCTAAGTGCACAGAGAAAGTGCCGGGAGATGCCAACCACACTGAGGATTGGAGTGGACAAGTATTATCTTTGTAGCTCATTTTCTGTTGCTTCTTGTAACTCTTTAAAACCAAGTGACTCAGTTGACTGTGTAAGGGAGAACTCAGCCACAGGGAAATGTAATCTGAGGAAGTCTTCCTGGGCTCCTTCAAGCAAATCGGGAAGGGAGTTTGGCTTTTGTTTTCCTTTAGACTTAATAAGGGGCTGGTTTTTTTCCCCTGCAGTTTGTTTGGAGCTGTCTGGGGTTTTTGCCTTAACCTCAGGCCGCCCACACAAATAATAGCCTCGCTGTCTTGTCATCAGGGAGCAGGGGCGCCCCCTCGGCTGAGCCCTCAGGCATGTCGCTGGCCGTGCTCCAGAGCCCAGAGCCCCAGCCTGGCACAGAGCCTGCCAGCAGCTCAGCTCTTGGCTCAGTGGGATTGTGAATGATCAAAGAGATTTGGGGATACAGACAGGTCTTCTTCCAACTCATGCTTCCTTGGAAGGTGACCTCAGCTGAGAGCAAGGATTTCCCAGCTTCAGGCCATGCATGTGATATGATGCAGGCGTTAGAAGATTCCAGCAGTCGGCCTGGCCGGCATCTGTTCTTAGACAGCACGCTAGGAGCTCTGGGAAAAGGGTGGGGTCTTCCCTTTCTAGGTCCAAAATGTGCTGCACGTAGCCCCAGCCCCACCAATGCTGCTCTCAGACCAGAGGCTAATTCATAGTAAGTGACCCTTCCCACAGCATGGTCCCCAGTCTGACTTGGAGGCCTCTTCCTGCCTCTGAGATCCCAGGAGTCCCGAAGGCTGAGAGTGAGTCCCACCATCTCAAAGTGTACAGCACTGGCTCCCACACAGCCTGGAGCTCATGTCCAAGGAATCTGCAACACCCACTGGGAAGCAGCACATGCGTCCACAGATAATCCCAGAGCAAGACT